CTGCCCCTCAAGTGATGACTCTCCAATGTCTATGACTGGAGTTCCATGGTATCTGACACCTCTGGTCTCCATGGGAAGCAGGCATACAGGACATACAGTGCACAGGATATGCATGTAGGCAAAACACCTATACACATAAAGTGTAAATAAATTAGACATGAAACATCAATAATATACAGACCTTTTCTGTCCAGCAGCCTAACTGGTAAAGACTAATAGAATTATTAGAAGTCAAACACTTCTCATTCATCTTCTGTTATTCATCTCTGCAAACGGAAGTTACTTCTGCTAACGCCCTTTCCTCTTCCATGTCTACATCCCCATACAAGCACATAGGTGGAGCCTACCTCCTCGAAAAATTTGTATCAAGTGGTTCTAATCTTGTATCTAAGAACACATTGCTAGGGATCTTGGGATGTATCTAAGTCAGAAAAGGGCACATGTGTGAGGACCTGCGCATAGATGCCCAGTACCCACATTAACAACTGGAGCAGCAGGACACATGTGACCCCCAACTCTGGGGGTGTGGAGCCTTCCGGATCTTTGCCACTCACTTGATCAGCCAGCCTAGGCATCCTGTGGGCTTCAGGTTCTCTCCAGGGAGAGACCTTGTTGCAATAAATAAATAAATAAATAAATAAATAAATAAATAAATAAATAAATAAGGTGGAGAATGATGGAGGAGGATGACCAATGTCAACCTCTGGCCTTCAAATACAAGTGCTCACTCATGAACATACTCACACAACAGCAGCAGCAGCAGCAACAACAACAACAACACACACACACACACACACACACACACACACACAGAGAAAACTCATACTCTCTTCACCTCCCTGATGCAGCCATTTTCCGAGCAGTGCGTGTCCTGACACATGGTCCTCGTGTCCTGACACATGGGAAGCCTTTACATGGAAAGAACCATCTTGACTGAATACAAACTGAGGGCAGGAAAACTTTTAAGAATGTTGCACAGGCTTGGAGAATTTACCTACAAATAAGTGCCCTGCATGTGCATCACACACATTCTGACTTTATTGGCTACTTACTTTGCTTCTAGAACACTGGTCAACAAACATGTTCTCTAAAGAGCCAGATGCTAAATATCATGCTACCTCTGTAGCAACTCAGCCATGAAAGTAGCTGCAGACAGGAGACAGGCCTGTGCTCTGGTTAATTTCTGTTTACCAGAACATGGCAGAAATTGATCAGTGGGCCATTGATTGCCAGACCCTATCCTAAAACTGTCTGGTGTCACTTGACTCAGAACTGAGTTACATTCAGATTCTAGTCCCGTGCCCTATCCAACAAAAATAGATTACCCTCACCTCTTCTGAGGTAGACATCTAGTCTAAGGGCTGGGAACGTCATGAACACAGAAATAGTGGCCACTAGTACTGCCTTGCATGGAGGTCACATATCTGGAGCAGAGGAGGAAACAGTGAAGAGTAGACAGTGCTGAGGTTGTAACAGTGTTGCCTCCTTTAGGGAGTACAGGTGGGTGAGTGTCCCACAATTGCTGCCACCACAGCTATTTCATTCATAAAAGTTCCTGTAGGTTAGTTGCAGTACCTAGAGCTGTGACTGTAGGCAAGGTATAGTCCAGGCTTCAGGAAAAACTATTGGTGAAATAGTAATGGCTATATGACACCATTCTGTTACGATAAATCTTTCCGCCAAAAGCCGCGCGAGCTCTATTGCCACGTGGGCGGTCTCTGCCAGCCACCTGAGTTCTGCCCGCCGAGTTAGGGCCCCAAATAGTACACAGAGACTTCTGTTATGTACAAATGCTGCTTGGCCAATGACTAAGATTCTCATCTGTTAGCTCAGTCTTAATTATCATAAATCTATATATTTTATGAGACTAATCTTATAGAAGATGCCTTCCACTGGTGCCCTCTCTTGCTGGTGGATCACATGGCACCTCTGGAGGAAGTGAGAGGGGGAAAGGGAACACTTCCTTCTTGTCCTTTCTTAAATATTAGTCTCCCTGCTATGTCACTTCCTGCCTGGATCATCACTTCTCTATTACATTTCCCAGAATCCTCTTTGACTCCTAGTCCCATATAACTTGCTGCCTCATTGGCCAAACAGTACTTTATTCAACAATCAATAAGATAAACATACACAGTACATTCCCCACCAAGACCCTTTCACTAAACCAGAAACTTGTCTGTGGCATGCCACTGGCCTTGTCAATTCCAGCATTTCCCCTGGCCGTCCACAGCAGATCCTTGCACTAGCAAACATAACAGTGTCTTTTCTGTCATCGAAGAGGTCAAGTTCCAATGGGAACTCTTCAAGGGAGACTTCTGTAGTTTGGCTTCCTCTTATAATCCATCTTTGTGGGGCATCAGTCAATCTAGCCGACTTGCCTGATCCGAACCTGAGAGGGGGAATGTGGATTGAGAAACAGCAGGAAAAGACTCTAAGAAAAAGACGGAGACACAGGATAGAGTCAGGAGTGCATTCCAGTGAATATTGGATGCCCCAAGTTTATTCTTCAACATTCTTAAATACCCCAACCAAAAAGGGGAACATGACAAGAGACTTTTTTATCATGTACAAGGAACAAACAGATTTTCTTCCTTAATTCTCCAAACATTTGGTAACTACACCTTAGACTCAATTTCTCCTTATCTGGCCTTGAGGGTCAAGAGTAACCACACCTCAGACCAAGTCTGTTGTTATTTAGATAAGACATCCACTACCAAGATCAAACATCCTACAGTAGCCATGTCTTAGACCTTTAGGTCTCATGACTTTAACCTTGGAAGATTAAGGACAGTTTTGAACTCTCTGACCTTAAGTCAAGATGAAGCAAAGCCATCTCTGTGGGCCCCGACAGCTTCCCCTACCTCTTCTAACCTAACCCTCCATGACAGTATAGGCATTTTAGCCTAAGTAGTTGATATGCTTACTGAGGTCCCACCAAAGATCTCTCATGCCTGTAAAGGAAGAGTAGGCATTGTGTCTCTTGAAGATAGTCTGTGGTACAGAAGAAAGTCTCACAGACATAACTTTGTGCCCTAGTTGTACTGTGGACTTTCTGTGCCTAAGAAGGGGCAAGCTGACCAGTATTTTTGAGCCTCGGTTTTCATATTTATAAATCTTGAAAGTTGTTGTGAGACTGGAATAAGGCTAAGTGAAGGGAGAGCCTGGAGGCCCTTATACATCTAGACTTCTCAGTGTCTAAACTGGTCACAGGGTTTAGCCTGGGTATCTCCTTAGTGATATAACCATTTAAAAGTGGGACTCATGGAGATACATCCTTGATTAACTATAATGACTCTCATTTTTTGTTAAAATGCTACCAAATACATTGATATTTTAAATTACTTTTCTAAAATGCCATCAACATTATGTAATCCCATGTAAGGCAGACAAGCTTCTATTTTTTTTTTTAATTTTGTGTCATAGATCTAAAATTTCACCAGCATAGACTGCAGAGAGATGTTGTCGAGGGTTTCAAATCAATTCACAATGCCACCAGATTTATAAAATCAAGGAGGAAATCCCCGAAGACATCCAAAAAAACCGGTGAGCAGAGTTGAGGTTGTTCCTTCCCCCCATCTTCTTTACAAAATGACTACACTGTGACACAGAGCACAGGGATTGGTATCACCCAGCATCTCACGTTGACCATTGGAAACTCACTGCTTAAGTTTTAATCCTCTCTCTATAGTTCACACTCTTTGCTAGAAAAAAATGTAAATGAATCCTGAGGACTCACAGAGATACACAGGAAATCTAAAGAAGATTAAATCATCGAATTGCTTAAACACTCCACAGATAGTGTGAGGATCGGTAATTCATAGCAGCCCTCTCAGTGCTTTAAAAATACATTGTTTAACTAATTGCATGGACCAGCCCAGTTAGGTATGTTGTATGTCGTGTGTCATGGAGTAGACACTGGAACTCACTGGATTAGACACTGGATTGTTCGAAGTCACTCTATAATCACAGAGCTAGAAACTGAGGCCTAGTCATAAAGCCAAGTGTTCCTGTACCTAGTTTCCTGAACCATAGGCAGTTCACCCCCCACTGAACAGTGCACCATAGCAGAGTGTCCAAAGATGGGTCTCAGTCCAAACCTTTTCTTGTTCTTTTGATAGAAAAACAACTAAGACATACCTGCCTAATGAGTAGGATGTATGTCTGCGCGTCAGAAACTATAGATAAAAATAGGTCAATTTTCGTGTAAGCCGTTCAGATTTCTAGGTAGACTTTTGATAGCTGAGTCATTTTCTCCACCTGTTCTTTCATGACTGACTCACGGACCTCTCCGTGAGGATAACAGGAAAACCATTAGCTGCCATAAGAAAATTCATGTGCAAAGCAAATTATTATGTTTATTAAAATTGTAAATATATGCAGATAAATTAATTATCTCAAGTTCTGCCTACCTAAAATTAATTAGTAGGTAATTAGCAACCCTGGAAAAGTTTCATTTCAAAAACTTCAGTCTTTGTGATGAAGCTGGAATCTCGATTTTTAATGACGTACCATGATGAAAGAGTAGCAAAATTAGCCCTCACTGTATTCTGCAACATTGCAAAAGTTAATTAATTCTCTGACATTCAGCAATGCAACTAAATTACTTTGTACACTTGTTTGAGTTCAGTGTCTATAATCTTCTAATTGAATTAATAAGCACTAAAATTGGGAATGGTGCTTATTATTTACCCGTCTTACCACCTTGTTACCCACTGTCCCAGACAGGTCATGCTCAGAGCCTGAGGAGATTGTTCTCTGAGATGAATGGAGGGAAAGACTTTCAAGGTTCAGTTTTCAAAGTCAGAGTTTCTGAACAAAAAGTTCATATTTTCTTTAAACCTTAAACTTGAAGAAGCGTTCTAATGAGAGACTGTGTGTCGAATCCCCTGTGAATTCGCTGCCTCTCTCTGTGTGGTGTCTGTTTAAATTTGTTCTGCTATCGTGACTTACTCTTACATCACAGGATAATGAATCCGGATTTTATTTCTGTTCTTTGCCAGACTTGTACAGCAGGCAAAGTGTTTGAAAATCAAAGGAAAAGAAGATATTGACTTGGATAATCTCTTCAGAGGTAAAAAAAAACAAAAACAAAAACAAAATACCAACACTAGCAAAAGCAAGAACTGACTTTTGCTTTTTGTTGTGGAGTTTGTCTTATCTGTCTGTTTGGCTTCATCATCTGGTAGGGAGTGTTGCCAAGGACCTGACCCGAAGTCAAGAGACTCTTAGATTCTCAGCCTGCTACCCACCCTGCAAATGACAAGTGCTGGCACTTGGAAGCCCCCACCTTAGTTTTCTCATTTACAAAGGTGAAAAGGCCTCTGCTACCCCAGCACTCTTCTTTGTGTCAGGAAAGATCCAGTCTGTGGAAGTCAGTGTCTCTGGTGTGCTCTCTGCTTCTACAGCAGCCACTTAATGCAGCCAGGAAAGTCACTGTGGCTGACAAATTGGACGGTGGGAAAATGTGTGTCATTAGAAGGTCAGGCGGAAAGTTACAGGGAAGAAAGCACAGAGATGAGAAGTTTGTTGGAGCCTTGAAAGGGAAAAGGAATATCATGTCTTCATTTAGGTTGTTCCCTTCCAGTGACTGCTCAGTGCAGACAGGAAGAGAGGCCACGTATTGTGACAGCCAGCTAAGACCTTCCTCTAGCTGCCTCGTCTGTCTTGGCACTGTCATTTAGATCTGGTCAGATGAAAACATTGGTCATTTGCAATTAGGTTGGTCTTCAGCCACTGTGGCCCTTAAATTCTTAACCCCCAAAGCATGTCACATATGATAGTGAGTTTTCTACTGAATTGGGAAGAAAATTAAGACAACTGGATAGCAATGTAGCTCATCTCCACCCCAGTCTCCTGACAGAGTTCTCTTAAGATGAAAAGGGCTGGGCAGTCGGTCAACCAGAGGGCTGCGATGGCCAAAGAGAAACTGCTGGTTTTGGATGGGACAAAGCTCAGGCTGGGGTTGCAAGAACTGTGAATTTCCATCTCAGCCACAAAGAGATGGGGTCTTCTCCAGAGAAAAGGGGGGCAATTAAGGTACTTGGCTCTCATTGTGCATTTACACGTTTCTCAGAAGAATTTCTGTATAATGTAACCAGAGCTAAGCCTTGCTTTAAATAAGTAATGCATATTTTAGAAACGGCTCCAAATGTTCTCATCCATTTCACCAAGCCCTCTTCATTCTGTAAGCAGCATGTTTTGGAACCACATGAGAAACCTTAAAAAAAAAGTGTTGGTGTTTTAATTCATATTTTGACACTTTTGAAAACTTCTGCAGAGAGTAATTATGTACATGTTCCTGTTAAAACAGATACACAGTCCTGTGCCTCACATAGTAAGAGTGGTAATGAGGATCACCCTGACCAAAATAGAAAATATCTCTAGCAAAAGGCATTTGCATATTGAGAAAAAAAAACCCAGTCTCTTCCATCTCGCCCTGTGTGCGCTTGTTCTTTTCTGCACCATTTGTAAGAAGTTTAAACCCATATGTTTGCATTTTTTTTCCCTCTGCATTTGCTGAACTCTCTAACTCAACCATTTTCACTTCCTCTTGGGGGAGGTCTGTAAGTGAAAGTTAGGGCAGTGATGTCATAGGATGTGTGGGGCGTTCTTGCCTTGTGCAGAGCACATGACTGTCTCGGAGCTTTGGGGAAATACAACCAGGGGTCTGTTCTACTGCGGGAAAAATGTACCTCGCACAGGCTGCACATGCCATGTGGTTTCTAGCCTAACGTATGGCTCAGATTGCAATTCCTGCATCCAGTCAGTCCTCAATATCATGATTAAGTTCATCTGCTCTCTTCCTAACATGTATGAGGCAAAATAGCAAAACTGAGCATCACTCCTGTGAGATTAAATAACTGCTGATGCCCTTTCATTGTGAAGGCTATAATGGAAGCTTCATTTGCAATTCTTCATCTTCTTCTCCCATCTTTTCCTATCTCGATGTATAGATTTGAATCGGTGCCTTCATTTTGGTTTTGGTTTGTTTTGTTTTTAAGGAAAATGAACTGAAATGTGTTCTCATTTATTCTGTGAGCAGAAATTGTAAACACTGGATTTTTTTCCCTAGGTTGTGTATAGCATGGCGACACAGCTTCTGACTTTCATGTCGCAGATGAGTTTTCAAATTTTACTAGTGACCATCTTTATTTTCCAAAGCATTTTATTTACAATAAATGTGGTGACTGTCATATACTTATGGCTCTTGTCACAGCTCCTGTTTTCTGGTCCACTGTAGTTTTTAGAGATTTGTGTGATTTGCAACATCTTTCCAAGAAGAATATTTAGAAATGAAATTGGCAGAAATCACTGTCTAGTAATACATGTTTGTTGATGGAAGCACAGTCATTTTACAAGGATGTCTGCTTGTAAAATTGATGGGCAGTACGGGAGAATCTGTAACACAAATAATAATACCCAGAGATTGATACTGTGGTTCAAGCTGAAGATCAGAGAAGCAAAGCAGCCAAGTAACCAGAGAGTTCTTACCTTTACCAAGGCTGGAGAGATCCTGTCCTTAATGTGGTTGGAGACAAATTCTCAGACTACAGTATGAGACACTGGGCTCCTGTCTTTTATATACCTCTCTAGGGTTGGAATTAAAGGAGTGAGCTCTGTTACTCTTTTAGACTGTTTTTTGTTGTTGTTGTTGTTTGTTTTTTTTTTTTTTTTTTTGGTTTTTCAAGACAGGGTTTCTCTGTGGCTTTGGAGGCTGTCCTGGAACTAGCTCTTGTAGACCAGGCTAGTCTCGAACTCACAGCTATCTGCCTGCCTCTCCCTCCCAAGTGCTAGACTGCTTCACTTTCATGTAGCCCTGGGTAGCTTTGAACTCACAGAGAGCCATCTGCCTCTGTCTCCTGAGTCCTGAGATTAAAGGTGTGTGCCTGCACAGCCCAGCTTCTATGTTGTGGCTATCTTTGCATTTGGATCTCAGTGGCTTTATTAGATCATAAACGATATATCACCACACAAGTCTATACCAAGCATTACACCAAAAGCATGGCAAGAGACAGTGCTCCTTTGTGCCATCTGTGGGTGGAGCAGATGCGCATGGGGTTTTATAGTTATAAACCTGTCCCTTCTCCAGGATGAACTTGGGTGTCTGATAATCAAGCTTTTATCTTTGCCCAGTGAATGTTTCATAGAGGACAAAAGAGAGGCCTTTCCTACAAGTTGAGCAGAACTATTAAAGTGTGTGACACTAGTAGTAACCCGCTTAGCTAAGTCCTGATACCTCAGAGGGAGAAAGCTGCAGCATGGCCTCTTGGTACCTCAGACCTGTCAGGGCTACCACACTGCAACTCCTTTGGAAATTTTGGAAATTTTAGCTAGTAAGTTGTTTCTTTTATATGTTTGCTGTTTGTAACTGGATCATTTGTAACTAGAAAGTAAATAGTTCTCATTTTGTTAATCCAATAGTTTTATAATCCCTGAATTAAACACAAATGTGAATGATTAAATCATCCATAAGTTATTTTTCTGTATGAAAATACAAGGACTTATGTGACTGGCACAGAATTATATGTGCTAATTTACAGCCAGTGTTGTTTCTCCCTTTAATAGATCATGGTCATTTTTCTAAGTCAATAAGAAAAGTTAGGAAGCCCACAAAGGCCACCCTACTTAATCAGCAGTTACGTCAAGAAACAGAACCCGACTCCCAGGGGGCCGCATGCGGACCTGTCAGTCGCCCTCTCCTGCCTGGGGAACCCCTCTGTGGTTCACTGGCTATCAGTTAACATTTCTCCATGTTGAGTATCTTATATGAGGACTCATATGCCGTGTGCTCTGAGATGTCTGACTTTTGCTAAACAGGGATCTGCTGAGTCATCTTTTGCTTGTTACTGTTGCTACATACTGTCCAAATCTATGCACATAACACAATTTGTGCCTCTCGGGCTTGACTGTTTTCAGTCTATTGCTCTTCGTGGCGGTGCTGCAAGTGTGTGAGCTACTGCCTCTGTGTATGTGATTTGTGAGGAAATTCAGTGAGTGTGGTATCTGGGTGATTCAGGTAATTGGTGGGCCAGACTCACGTGTTCTTGGAAAGCTCAACAGACATACAGTGCCAGCATCAGAGGGAGACCGAAGCTGCTCTACCCCATTCTCAGCATGGACAGTCACTCTCTGATTTCACCCAGTCTTTTGCGCTGACACTGGGATTTGATGATATTCTAATTTTGCATTGCCATGAGATGAAACTGAACAACATTGTGTGTGTGTGTGTGTGTGTGTGTGTGTGTGAATGTGTGTGTGAATGTGTGTGTGTGTGTGTATGTGTGTGTGTGTGTGTGTGTATGTGTGTGTGAATGTGTGTGTGAATGGGTGTGTGTGTGTGTATGTGTGTGTGTGTGTGTGTGTATGTGTGTGTGAATGTGTGTGTGAATGGGTGTGTGTGTGTGTATGTGTGTGTGTGTGTGTGTGTATGTGTGTGTGAATGTGTGTGTGAATGGGTGTGTGTGTGTGTATGTGTGTGTGTGTGTGTGTGTATGTGTGTGTGTGTGTGTGTGTGTGAATGTGTGTGTGTGAATGTGTGTGTGTGTGAATGTGTGTGTATGTGTGTGTGAATGTGTGTGTATGTGTGTGAATGTGTGTGTGTGTGTGTATGTGGGTGTGTGTGTGTATGTGGGTGTGTGTGTGTATGTGGGTGTGTGTGTGTATGTGGGTGTGTGTGTGTATGTGGGTGTGTGTGTGTATGTGGGTGTGTGTGTGTATGTGGGTGTGTGTGTGTATGTGGGTGTGTGTGTGTATGTGGGTGTGTGTGTGTATGTGGGTGTGTGTGTGTATGTGGGTGTGTGTGTGTATGTGGGTGTGTGTGTGTATGTGGGTGTGTGTGTGTATGTGGGTGTGTGTGTGTATGTGGGTGTGTGTGTGTATGTGGGTGTGTGTGTGTATGTGGGTGTGTGTGTGTATGTGGGTGTGTGTGTGTATGTGGGTGTGTGTGTGTATGTGGGTGTGTGTGTGTATGTGGGTGTGTGTGTGTATGTGGGTGTGTGTGTGTATGTGGGTGTGTGTGTGTATGTGGGTGTGTGTGTGTATGTGGGTGTGTGTGTGTATGTGGGTGTGTGTGTGTATGTGTGTGTGTGTGTGAATGTGTGTGTGTGTGTGATGACTGTTGGGTTTTGTGAAGTAACTTCCTGTGTCTTTTGGAGTGTCTTCTTCATATTTAAGTGAAGCTCTGTACATAAGTGTAAGTCCCATGGTCAGACAGATGTATTGCCTTCTTGAACTCTTAATGGTACGTCGTGAGAAATGCAAGTTTCATCATTAAATATGATGCATCATTTCTGGTTTGCTTAATACCTTCATGCCTTTAAAATGCCCGGCATGTTTCATGTTCATGAACTTGCGATGCTAATTTTCATTTCGAATATGTCAAGCTTTCATATCACAGTTTAGCTCTGGAATGCAGTTGGAGCTAATTTCCCCATGCATTATAAAATAATACTCAAAATTCACCTTCTCCAGGGATTTGCAGTCAGTGAAGTAACATTAGCTGAACTGCCCATCATGTCCTCTTCCACATGGAGGTGCCACTTGTTGAAAATTAAGGCACCATTTATGTGTTGATCGGTTTCTACACTGTGCTCTGACTCATTGACTTATTTGGATTATACTGTGGATGCCACGCTTTTTTAATTACCACAGCTTTATATAACCAATTCTGACATCTAGGAACAGCATTCTCCCAGTTCTGTTTTTCTTCTGTCCAGTTGTCCTGACTATACTAGGCATATGGCAAAGTGTGCATACCAGCATCAGAGAGGCTGAGCTAGCCTGGGCTAAACAGAGAGATTCTATCTACAAGAAGAAAAAAGAAGCAAAAGGAAACTATATTATCCCTTCTTCTACCTTTCTGATTAGCTTAAGCACATGTACACACACTCACAGTGAGTTCAATTAGATCTGAAGTGGTCCTATCATCCCATTTCAGCTGAACTGCCGTTTTCTAATTCATGAACATGGTATACTCTTTGGTTTAACTAGATCTCTCTCTCTCTCTCTCTCTCTCTCTCTCTCTCTCTCTCTCCCTCTACTTTTCAGTGGTGTGAGGCAGTTTCCCTGAGCTAGCACCCCCACTGCAGTGCTGAATGGATTTAATGATAAAAAAGCATCTTTGTCTCACTTTTAATCTCATTGCTATAAGTTAATAAGTACTAATAAGTACTAATAATAACATTATTATTATGTAGCTTTTATTTTAAGACCCTTAGTAGAGTGAGAAAATGTTCCATTTCTAGGTTGATGTGTGTTTATTTTTATAAGTGGGTAGTGAATTTTATAAAATATTGTCCTGGTTATATTGGGATGATTCTTATTTTTCTACTCTATTCTGTTAATATGGAAGCTTTTATTACAATGATACTTATGGAAATTTGTTGCTAGAGTCTATTATTGTATTACAAGTATGCAAAGTGTGCTAATTATACTGGCATTGTTCAGTGAGGTTCAAGTAACTATTCTCCATGTACTATTAGTACCCAAATTGAGCAAATTAGAACCAATAATTAGGCAAGCCTTGCTTTGCATGCTTTCAAGGGGTGTGAATTCAAGTTGTTACTATTAAGCTAAAAAGTAGCAGAGCCCAACTAGCACTGTGCAGAATTCTGTGACTGAGGCGAGTTAACTGTGAGAGAGCTCAGGAAGTACCAGGTAAGCACCAGTTCTCCCCCGTGATCTGTGGCCAGACCATCGCGTCGCTTCAGCCTGCACACAGACACTGATTGAAGCATGGGGTGTGCTGCTCTCTCACTCCCCCACAGGGCTAAAACCATGCAGCATTTTGCAAGTTTTGCTTCTTTAAAAAGATAACCAACAAATATGCAACAAAGGAAAGAAATGATAGCATTTGAAGCTACCGTCAACTTTAAACAAATTTATAGGGGGAAAATGGGCAACCCCAGAAATACTGACCTGTGTTTTGAGCTATTAATACAATGGAAGGAGTGGCCATGACAAACAGGATGGAGATGCCCCTAATTAAGTAACGCTAGCGAAGAAACAAAACACACAAACTTTTTTTTTAATGTTGCAAGTCACAGTAATGTGGCTTAGACAACAATTGTCAGGAAGAGAATTGGTAATGTCTTAGCTAAAATTGTAAAAACCTGGAAAAAAATCATTGCTTTCTTCATTGATCGGTAAGTTCAGTTTGTATATTTTCAAATGTGTGGGGAATTTTGCAGCACCACATTGTGG